GCTACGAATATACGCTTCGTACTGATTCCTCTTACTACCTTCGATACCACTGTTTCTGGCCAATCATTTTTTTTTTTTTTAGTTTAAGCGAGCGTTGTCAGCGATGATGGCAGGCAAGCGTTGTACCACGTGCCTGCTTAGCTGCTGCCACTGTAGTACAGTTGTGATGCCCGGATGCCGACCCGAGAGACTCATGTCCGATTTCCGCCGGCGTGGTCGAGTTTCGACGGAGGTTAAACGGTAGAGGCCCCCTGTACCGCGCAATGCGAGAACCCAAGGTGGGCGAAATTACCGGGAACACCCCCCACTATACCCGGGTACCCGCCACGTGATGGTTACGGTGTTCGAGTGATTACCCGCAGGTTGCGGAACCGAATCCCGGCCGCATTTTGGATGGATGCACACGAATAAAACATTGCCGAAAATGGAGGCGAGAATGTTCGAGGTGCGTGTTCTTATATTTATGAGCGCGTTAGGGACACCCCCCCCCCCCCCCGGGTGGTCGAAATTTTCGGAGCCCTCCATGGACTACGGCGTTTTTTTTTTATAATCACACCGCGGTTTCGGGACGTTAAATTCCAAACATATATTGTTATTATTATACGTCCAACCAATTTTCTCGTAATTTGAGCCGCTTCGAGACATTAAACCCCACTAGTCGCGCTTTCGTCCTTTTTCTTCCCCAAGTTTCCTCGCTATAAATTGGATATTCGTTCTAAACCCGAACAATGGTAACGTTCGCAGTGCTTGGTGAAGTTCGAGTGATCTAGATTAAGTGCGGTTGGAGGAGCTAGATTAGAAACCGATTAATAAAGCTACGTACGTGTTAAGACTGCCTAATACGTATCTAGTAAGACTATGTACGTATTGAGATTAAGTACTGAGCTAGACTCAGTGCATCCCCTCGCTCTGGTAGTCACTTTCATCACGTCCGTACGACTTTATCACAAGCGTAAACGAATATTTGGCATGACAGTGCTATCAGTTCCAAGGCTGCTTTTGTGGACCAACGAGCTACGTCTAGTGTGCGCACACATGCGTGGCTTTGACGGCAAGCGTGCTTCACTGCCAAACTACCATGCACTGCGGCAAAGCAACTGTTTTTTGTGTGTGTTCGGCGTGATTTTCGTTGTCTGGCAAGCGATAGAATTTTTTTTCCAGCATTAGACTAATCTCGTCAGTTGCACGAAGAGGCGAGAATATACGTGTGTTAGACGAGTGCTTCAAACCATGGAGTTTCCTACAATACTTACTAGAGGGAACTCAGGCGCTAGTGTCTATGGGAGCTGCAACGCACGGCGCTTTAACGAGCATGGGAATTATGGGTAGTTCACACATTTGTGTAATCTTCGTACTTCTGGCCTGCCTTTGGCTCCGTGTGTGTTCATGTGGCTTAAAGCTTTTTTTCTCGCAAAACAAAAAGCAGCAAATGTTCAGCGATTGCACTTCACCACCTTATTTTTTTTCGACTTACCTTTCCAAATTGGGTCAGACAGTTCAAAAGGGTTCAATCTTTCATTCAAAACAAAACCAAAACACAGCAATAAACGAAGCCGCAAGTACGATTCGCCGCCCGCAAGTACGAAGACTAGGCAAATGTGTGTACTACCCATCATTCCCATGGTCGCTGAACGATCGCAGCGCCAGAGTGCCCTCTAGTTAATTTTGAGAAACTCTATGCTTCAAACGGGAGAAAGTTCGTGCCAGGAACTGAACATGTGCGTCTCCTCGACAAATTCGGCTGCAGAGTCACCTCAACTGAAGTGAAGGTGAAAGGTCACTTAGAAGTGTGGCGGTTTGGGCTAGTTGATATGACAAGGCGATAGTTATCGCGCGAGAACAGAACGACGACAAAGTGACAAGGAGACGTGCGCTAAACTGAGTTTATTGCGCAGAGTGCGAAAACATATAGAGGAGTCAGTAAACCGTCTGACAAAAACGATGTGACACAAAGAGCAATTCATGAGTAATGGAAAAAACACAAGCAAAGAAAGAGTCGAAGAAAAGTCAATCAGGAAACGAAACAGAAATGTAGAAGTGAAACTAAGAGTACTGTAGCTAGTTCCTCTTTGTAACTAAAGTACTGTATTCTTTACTAAAGTACTGTAACTAGTTCCTCGTCTCCTTCTTGTCTCTTTGTCGTCGTTATGTTCTCGCGCTACAACTACCATGGTTATCGCTATAACCACATAGTTCTCGCGCAATAACTACCGCCATGGGGTGAAAGGTTGAGTTCCAGCTAGTTGAAACGCCAGCGCAAGGAGAAAGTAACGCCCGGAAAAAGGCTGAGCTTCTAGCTGAAGTTAATCAAAATACGGTATTCCTTACGTGTTCGAAACTATCCGGGGCCCCCTCACCACACGTCACGTACAAACTGGTGCGGAAAATCACACCGTTAAAATATCAATCGAAGGCGCGTTCGCAGCGTGTAGAAGGAATGGGGTGCGATTCTGAGCCGAGTCGTCCCAAACGGGGTTACAGTATCGTTCCACTGGTAACGCGACACATTTTTTTTTTTTCAACACATTAATTTTTTTCTACACATTTATCTTTTTTTCGACTCATTTATTTTTTTCAACACATTATAACTTAGAAGCGATGCGTAAAACGAGACCAGTAACAATGCTTATCGTGGAGCCACACCCAATGTGATGCTAGTGTCGAGGGGTAACTTTGTTGACTTCAACCACCGTATCGCCACTTTTCGCATCAATTTCACAACCCTCGAAAAGTTCTTATCTTGGTTGAGTTGATTACATTGCAAGCAGCTAACGTACAGTTTACTTCGCGTGCACGACGCCAAACAACGTTTCTGGCAAAATGGGACCTTGTTCCTAATCTCTGAAGCTGATACCGCTGTAACAGCTTTCAGAAGGTCCATTCCTGAGGTCACTCGTAATTGCTGTGCATTCTGCTACGTGTCTCTACGCCGGATAGTAGCGTGTCAGCCATTTCTGTGGACGTAACCAGGATTTTATTTCGGGGAGGTTATACCCTGCCACAGCACGTGCGTGTATGTGTACGTCTGTTTGTGTATAATAATTATGTATATGCATGCGTTTCAGCTGTCTTGCGAAACAATCGGTGGAAAGGTTGGGACTTCCCTATCCACCGCCCTCGTTCTGTTTTACCTGCGATATTATATCAAATACAACAATGGATTTATTCACTTGCACCGAAATTTCGGTGCAGACAGCTGTCGCACTGAGTATACATACTTAACTAGTAACTTCTCGCTCGATCTCGGAACATTTGCCTCTACATGGAGAGTGTTCTGGTGTGTCGCCTTTCGGCGCACCTGTGTGACGTCATGCGAGTGGTGTGACGACAACAGCGTATACATCCACGCAGGAGCCTGTCCAAGATGATGAACGGTAACGGTTGCGGGGAAGCGGTGACCAGCTCGCTCACCTGGAGTGTGGGTCTGCTCAACGGGGCCCACAAGTATCTCACTGCGGAGACATTTGGCTTCAAGGCAAGCTCATATCTCACTTATACCAAGTGTTGGCAACTTGTGGCCCCCACGGGGCTGTGCTATAAGGCTCCCAGCACAAGGTCATGCCACTCCCCCCTCCTTCCCCCACTGTCTAGACAGCAAGACCAATGTTTACACAGCAACGAGCAATTTGATCCCGAGAACTCACGCTCACAGCGCTTCATGTTTTGTGAAAAGCGATTTATATTAAAAGCTCTGGCAATAATTTGGTACATTTCTTAATTCCTGGCAACAGGACCCTTTCGCTGTGGACTCGTATACTAGAACGTGCCGCCGTATGCACAGTATTTCCACGTCGTGTCAGGGCAGTTATTTGCACTTTGCGCGCGGTTTGTATTAGGCTTCTGGTGCTCTAATGAACATGTAAATGGCACGATTTCGAGAACGCAAAATAGACTGCTTTGCTCGCGCCGGTATTTGTTAATTAAGCTGCTAGGTAGCTGACCCCAAAGGCGTGGATCTGATTTGAAAGCGCCGATTCGCGCGGGCGCTTAGTGGTCGAGCCAGGCTTATGAGTCATCTCGTGTCTTGCATTTATATAACCAATGATTACAGCTTTCAAAAAAGCGTCCTGTTAGAGGAGGTACATTGTGCTTCTAAGACTTGAAGTTGGACTGTGAACTGCGGCCGCAGGTGAACGCCAACGGAGCCGCCTTGAAGAAGAAGCAACTCTGGTCACTTGAGCCCTGCTGCGACGCTGGCGAGGAGGCTGTGCGCCTCCGCTCCCACCTGAATCGCTACCTGGCCGTCGACCAGTTCGGCAATGTCACCTGCGACGCCGAGGAGCCCGGGTATACAGCGGAATTCATTGTATCCGCATGCATTTTCTGTATGTTTTTGAGTTGTTTCATTGATATTGCTTAGTTGTGAATTTTAACGAGAGTGACCTCTAATTCTTAAAATGTGTTATGTAAACTTCTTATGCTATTTATGTTTGAATTTTGTGTTTACAATTTCAGGCTGCTTGAAACCAATGTATTGAATATATATATTGTTTGTCAGTGCTGATGTCTAAGCTTTGCACTGTCACGGACTGCGGAGGGACAAGGGCCTTTGTCAGGCTGTTCGCCTTTAGCCCTTTGCCCCTGCAGCGAGCTCTGTATCCGGCTTACTGTAAATAAAAATACTACTACTACTACTACTACTACTACCACAGCACGTGCGTGTATGTGTACGTCTGTTTGTGTATAATAATTATGTATATGCGTGCGTTTCAGTTGTCTTGCAAAACAATCGGTGGAAAGGTTGGGACTTCCCCATCCACCGCCCTCGTTCTGTTTTACCTGCGCTATTATATCAATACAACAAATAGATTTATTCACTTGCACCGAAATTTCGGTGCAGACAGCTGTCGCACTGAGTATACATACTTAACTAGTAACTTCGCGCTCGATCTCGAAACATTTGCCTCTACACGGAGAGTGTTCTGGTGTGCCGCCTTTCGGCGCACCTGTGTGACGTCATGCGAGTGGTGTGACGACAACAGCGCGTATACATCCACGCAGGAGCCTGTCCAAGATGATGAACGGTAACGGTTGCGGGGAAGCGGTGACCAGCTCGCTCACCTGGAGTGTGGGTCTGCTCAACGGGGCCCACAAGTATCTCACTGCGGAGACATTTGGCTTCAAGGCAAGCTCATATCTCACTTGTACCAAGTGTTGGCAACTTGTGGCCCCCACGAGAATGTCCTCTATAAGGCCCCCGGCACAAGGTCATGCCACTCCCCCCCCTCCTTCCCCCACTGTTTAGACAGCAAGACCAATGTTTACACAGCAATGAGCAATTTGATCCCGAGAACTCACGCTCACAGCGCTTCATGTTTTGTGACAAGCGATTTATATTAAAAGCTCTGGCAATAGTTTGGTACATTTCTTAATTCCTGGCAACAGGACCCTTTCGCTGTGGACTCGTATACTAGAACGTGCCGCCGTATGCACAGTATTTCCACGTCGTATCAGGGCAGTTATTTGCACTTTGCGCGCGGTTTGTATTGGGCTTCTGGTGCTCTAATGAACATGTAAATGACACAATTTCAAGAACACAAAATAGACTCTTTTGCTCACGCCGGTATTTGTTAATTAAGGTTCTCAGTAGCTGACCCCAAAGGCGTAGATCTGATTTGAAAGGCGTGGATTCGTGCGGGCGTGGTGTGCCACTGGCTACGCCACCAATACCTCCACAGTCCAAGTCTGTGGTCGGCTTTCTTGCATTGCTCAGACGCTTAGTGGTCGAGCCAGGCTTATGAGTCATCTCTTGTCTTGCATTTATATAACCAATGATTACAGCTTTCAAAAAAGCGTCCTGTTACAGGAGGCATAGTGTTTGTGCTTTTAAGCCTTGAAGTGGGACTGCGAACCGCGGCCGCAGGTGAACGCCAACGGAGCCGCCCTGAAGAAGAAGCAACTCTGGTCACTGGAGCCGTGCTGCGACGCTGGCGAGGAGGCCGTGCGCCTCCGCTCCCACCTGAATCGCTACCTGGCCGTCGACCAGTTCGGCAATGTCACCTGCGACGCCGAGGAGCCCGGGCCGGGCGCCATCTTCCAGATCACCGTCTCCGCAGACGCTAAGGGCCAGTGGGCACTGCGAAACACCAACCGCGGCTACTTTCTGGGTGCCTCGGCAGACCAGCTGGTCTGCGTCGCCAAGGCACCAGGACCCTCTGAGCTCTGGACGGTCCACCTTGCCGCAAGGCCACAGGTGCGTCCCATGTTTGACTCGTTAAGTTTTTGGAGCGCACCTCTAATGCTCCCATTCCTGCATGGAGCCGCGTCGTCGTTAGCGATGTCGGCGTATGCTAGTGTAACCGATAAAGCGAACGAGGATGAAAGAGAGCAAATATGAGTCTGTGTACATTACGGACCACTGGCCTCTGAGCTCGCTTTCTTTCTTCATCACGTGTGCTGGCCCCTCGGGATCGAGGTGCTCCTGCGCATGCAGGGCTCGCACGCACACCATAGGTGTTCCCAGGTTTCCCTATCAGGGGGTAGGAAGGCAAGGCTCTTTGAGGAGTTACTGTATATGCTATCTTATACAGTAACTCCATAGAGCATATATAGTTGCTCTAGCTCGCTGCTGCCCCCCCTCTCCCCAACCACCACATTAACTCCATGATAGGGTACATTTGTCACTCTCCTCTTAGGTAAATAAGGGGCTGAGGGTGGTTTTGCTTGCCGTAATGGGGCTGTCGGCACTTCTCTGGCTTCGCGACGCCCGTGGTGCATAGTGGTGTGCATAACACTCGAGCGCTAGCAGGTTTTGTGACAATATGTAGCGAATGTTACGTCGCTACAACTGCAGGAAACCAAAACTTCAAAGCACAGTTGGCCTTGCCCCCATGCAAAGCTGTGCTGAGAACTTGCGTTAAGGAGTATTGCAATCGTCTGTGAATTTTTTTTTTCCAAAGTGCGATTTATTGCAATCAGTTCACTAATTTTATCTGAACGGAACAGCTCTTTTATTTTTTTATGTCATCTGTTGCAGTCCCAAGTGAAATTATTATTGCACTTTGCACTTTCATTTTCCTGGGGCGTTAGGCATTATAAAATAACTTTCAGCACATGAGTAGGAATGATGAAAAGCTAAGTTGTCGAAAATTAGTTGCATGGCCAGTGTCAGTGTCATTTTGCTAAGATGGCAAGACCGATATGTGTCCCAGCCACTGCTTTTGTTTACTAAACATTAGTGTACTCTGCCTAAAATCTACAGTAATGCAAAGTTGCAGATAAAAGATTGAAGAGACCTTACGACAGACAGTGCGATAACTCTTCTGAGATGCTAAGGCACGACAGGACTACTACTACTGATTTCATGTTACAAAAGCCTTTGTGGACATTGTGTATCATGGCAATCTTGATGTACAGGTCATATATGCTACACTGTAATACTGTGGTAATGTAGTTTACAATGTAGATTGCAAAACGGATCAAGCTTTACACACCTATCTGTGTTAATAATGCGCATGCGATTCTCGCCTCGCGCCATTTGTATACTTGCTTTGAGTCACCGTCAAGATATGGTCATGCTAAATTACTCCTCGGCTGTCTAATAAAGGTGACCATCCGGTCCATCGGGCGTCGCCGTTATGCCCACCTCTCGGGGACCGGGGACGAGATTCAAGTGGATGCTGCGACTCCGTGGGGTGAGGACACCCTGTTCACACTTGAGTTCAGGGACGGCAAATACGCGCTGCACACGGCCAACGACCGCTACCTCTGTCCCGACGGGAAGCTCATAGAGAACTGTGCACCCGAGTGCCTCTTCAGCCTGGAATTCCACTCCGGGTGAGTCCGTGATCCACTGAGTGCTGGCCGATATCAATAAATCAATCGAATAATTATTCAACAATCAACTAGTTAAACAAGTAATTAACAATCAGTTTATTGATTATTCATAAATTCTATTATTCTGTCAATAATTAAACAAATAAATTAATCAAAAACTTTATTTTGCAAAAAAAAAAAAAAATGCTGGGTGGTCTTCATGTCTGAAAGCTGCTCTAGGCAACCTGACTGCGTCCCTGAAGACCCTCACATTGGCAGCACACAACATTCACTACAGAAATATGCGCATTGAAGTATAATTTCAACATACATGACAAATGCTGTAAAGGTTTCAGTAAAGATCACAAGTAATAAACATGGCACTCAGAGAGTGACTGCAGGATTCATGTCAAATAGTGTAGTGGAGCATAAGCAACATTATAATATAAAGAAACTCTAACTGCAAAAAGAAAAAAAAATATGAAAATACCATGCCAATTTAAAATTTAGCAGGTCTTGCACACAATTAAAATAAAAGTTTCTCAAAACGAGAGACTGCATTGAGGTGACAAGGCAGAGGCATACAATTTCGAATGCTTCTGCACATTGTTGCTTTCTCCCATCAGTTGCACCCTTTGTTCACGTGTCTATTCATAGTAGAGAATTGGCCAAAGCTGAATGCTTTTGACACTGACACCTAAACCAGCTAGCCTTGCCCTCTAAGACTGAGAAAAACTCAACCCAACTGAGGACCGTTATAATTTGGTAAAGGTGCAGAAATAGTTTGCACGGGGCTATATGTATTGCAGGTTTCAGCAAAACATGCTATGCTACACTAATCTGCAAATAAGATTCATTGTCATTGAAAAGGCTACACATGCAGCTTCTGTGTAGGTAATATTGTTTTCTAAAATTATTGAAGTGTATTGAAGTCCCATATTTCTCATGATGATTCAATGGTAAGGCACAATCCTAATGCGAAGATTATGGTGTCTTTCGTTCACACTGTACAGCAGATCATTCGAAGTGAGTAATCAAGTTAAAGGCCTGCTACACTGCAGCGAATACACTCAAGCCTCACCATAGCAAAGTTTCATTGTACATGAAAATGACTTCGTTGTATCCGAAAATTCGTTATAAAGGTTAATTCCTAACACTACAGCTATTGCAAGAAAAGCGAAAGTTGGGCTAGTTGGTGGTTGATGCTTGGGATGTAAAAACAGCGCAAAAATAGAGACAAGTACTGAAGAGACTATAAGGAGCCTTGTCTCCATGTTCGTTATATCGATGTTTGAGTTAACATGGTCGACTCTTGTGTAGGTACCTGGCACTACGTGACGTGAACCTCCGTTACCTCTCACCCATCGGCTCTAAGGCAGTGATGCGCACACGATCCAACTCCGTGACACGTGACGAGCTGTTCTCTCTTGAAGACTCTGTGCCGCAGGCGGCCTTTGTAGGGTTCAACGGAAAGTACGTCTCTGTCAAGCAAGGTAAGCAATAATATTTTGAGCTAACAATTTTAGTTCACCATTGACGTGCAGAGTCTTGAGGTGCATTTAGTGAATTTTCATGTCCATATAACATAGTACCACAGACCAAAAATGAAAAAGGAAAAATGCTTATTGGAGACGGACGGTACTCGCATCAAATGAATGTCAACTAGGTGTCCCACTGCCCTAAAAATGCATGCAAAAACACGCACACACCCACGAGCACGCACCCCCCCCCCCCCCCCCGCAGGCTATGCTTTTGCCCCATCGCAGTGGTCTAGTGGCTAAGGTACTCTGCTGGTGACCTGCAGGTCGCGGGAGCGAATCCCGGCTGCAGCAGCTGCATTTCCGATGGAGGCGGAAATGTTGTAGGCGCGTGTGCTCAGATATGGGTGCACGTTAAAGATCCTTAGGTGGTCGAAATTTCCGGAGCCCTCTACAACGGTGTCTCTCATAATCATATGGTGGTTTTGGGACTTTAAACCCCACATATCAATCAGACTACGTTCCTAGACAGGAGAGGTTTTTTGCGTACTGTGGAGGGTAATTTACCAACATGATGAAATTCTTTTTCTCTTTAGTGTCTAAGATGCATTTTCAAAGGAATATTCACAAAGCTTTACATTGTACCTTGCGCTCATTTGCGATAGCCATACATATACGATAGGTAAACTGTTTGCTCCATATTGTCGGTGTTGGCTAGCACACATTAGATTGCCACCACTGGAGGGAATGTGATTGCCTGAACCAAATTATGCATCAACATAGGCGTTGCTGCACAGAAAGCAAATGGTAGAAGTGGTATGCCATGAATTCGCAACGTTCTTGCTCTCCTGACATACATGCTAGTGGTGAGAAGGGATTGTGCACGTGTACAGTAATTCACGAAAACAACTGCACCTAAGGTCTTGTCAGCACATGTGACATCAGCAGTTCCAACTTGTAGCTCTGTAACTACATTGTACTTGCATATTTGATTACATTGCATCACATTCACTTGTAATCTTATGATATATTGGATATTGATGCAAATATTTGTACTCTTGCCTCAATTTTTTGGCTGGCAGACCAGACATACGTCAAATCTTGAAACCTTTCCATGATGTAATGCGATCTCCACAGGAAACAAGTGGTTGTGATGCTCAGCTGCTGACCCAAAGGTATCGCGCTAGACTGCCGGCCATGGCTGCCACATTTCTATGGGGGCAGAATGTTGGAGGGCTGCATGTTTGGATTTGGGTGCACGTTAAAGAACCCAGGTGGTGAAAATTTTTTCAGCCCTTCACTACATCATCTCTCATAATTATATTGCTGTTTTGGGAAATGAGACCCCAGCAATTATTATTTGAGAGTGCATCTAATTAACAAATGTTTGCGAGCTGACATCATTCTAAATGAATTCACCTCTTTGCTTCAGCTTTGATGATGCTTAGCAATACGTAGAAAGCTCTTACCAGGCAAAGCGCAGTTCTCTACCAGGATGTATATGGCTCGCAGTGGTCCTGGAAATGTATAAAAGCTCATTGTATGAATATATGGCTTACTATAGAAGTTATGATATTATGTACTTCTTCAAGGGGCTGGAGATCATAATATTGTAGTCTTCTGAAGAGCATTTAAGTGAACTTACAAAATTGTGCTAAACTTCAAACATTCAATGCAATATTTATGAAGTGTGCAAACAATCCTGCAAAATTTCTTACATCTGCAAGGAATGGACACAGTTGCCCATTTCACGAATATTATCCTCTTTGCAATGCACAGTCAGCTGAGCTTATCAGTATCGTAAGAATGCTATTGTTAAAAAATAATAAACTCTGTTCAAAAAGTGTATTTTCGCCCTTTAATTTCAACGGGACTTGTAATTTAAGATTGCCAAGAGGAAGCTTGGTTAACGCTTTCTGTGTAGCTGCTACACCAGCAAGTGCAGATCGTGTGCTGGCAGCTTGCGGTGCTCTTCTCGTGGTGGTACCTGGTGCAAAATTAGCATGCCCGTGTTCTCATAAATACAAGTATTTAAGAAAAGGTTGCACCCCTTTTCATGGCAGTTTTTCTCGTAAGGTTGTCAGCAGCCACAACGTTTGGTAAGAGTATGTGAGCCGACATGCACTCCCTGGAAGTCGCACTACCATAGTAGAAATGTTCACTCAAAAAAAGCTATAGTTCACACATCTCCACTGGCATAACCAGGAGGGTTGGTCCTGGTTGAACGCCCCCTAACTGTTAATTTGCATGTGTGTAAAACATGCTCACATCCAGACACTAACACACTGTGTAAAGTATGGTTAAATCCCCCCACCCAATAAAAAGAAAAAAAATCCTGGCTACGCTACTGCACGACACAAATGTTGATGCCATAATGTTCGCACGGCAGGTGTCTGGCATTTGCAAATAGGGTCTCTCAGTTGCCGCATATTAAAGATGAGTCGCATGAATGCAGACGCCACTACAACGCACGCGTAATGGAGCAGCGCTCCTATATCAAAGGATTAACAGCGATGGGTGTTCTTGCTCAGGTGTTGATGTCACTGCCAACCAGGATGAAGTGTCGGACCACGAGACGTTCCAGCTAGAGTGGGACAAGGAAACTGGCCGCTGGTTTGTCCGCACTATGCAGGACAAGTACTGGTCGCTCGAGAGCTCGTCTGGCATTCAGGCCAATGCCGACAAAGGGTGCGTGTGCTACTCGTCATGGCCTCTTCTACAGTCCGTGCCTGTCCGTTTATACGTTTCAGAAGCACAAATTAAAACATGAAAAGGCACATGACAGAAAGTGGTGAAATGTGTGCCTGTGTGTTACGTGCCTTTAAATGTGTGTGCAGTTGATTTTTTAAGTACAGACTACCAGTGTGATCAAACATAAACTACTATATCAATCTGTGTTTTACATAGCAAACTCTGCATCCAAACTATTCATGCAAAAGGTTAATTGAGATCTCAATGGTTGTAACACAACATGGCAGCACAGCAGTAACACTTCAAGTGAATGTACCTGCCGCAAAGCTTAAAATGCCACTCTGTGGCCTTGGTTCAACCACTGAATTGGCTATCTTGAAGTCGCAGTGTTCACTTTTTCTACGCTATGGCGTGACTGGCTGAGCATACAACTTGAAATGGGTAATAATTTTATTATAGAAAAACTTTAAGTGGAGCCAAATTTTGTGACAAGATATCTTGGTGTACATCCAGTGCTTAGTAATTGAACATCGTCGAGCGGTTATGTCCTGTCTCACCCTGTTTACTAGCATACAGCCAGCACTAATGCTTTGTAATGTCACCTAGTGTTGGCTGATTATTGCCTGTGCTGGGTAAACTACAATGAGTATAAACTACAGTGGGGTTACATTGGCTACCTGCCGTCAAAAATCAATTTTTTGTATATACATTATGCATTTAGACCAAAACCTGACTAAATTTGCCTCCTAGCTCTTTGTGTGTGCCTGTGTGCATACGCATGCGCGCGCATGTGTGCGCATGGGCGTTCATGTGGTTATGGGCTTGGTTCCTCTCTTTTTACCAGTCGTGTTGTAACCGTAAGCTCCCTTCATGTGCAGCTCTGCCAACAGCCTTTTTGAGCTTTGCTGGCAGCCTGACGGCAGTGTCACCCTGGTTGCCAGCAATGGCAAGTTGGTTGGTGCCAAGAAGAGCGGCCACTTGTTCGCCAACTGTGAGCCTGGCGACCCCGCTGCGAAGTTTCACTTTGCACTGGTCAACCGCCCCGTGCTTGTCCTGAGGTGCGACCAGGGCTTCGTTGGCCGCAAGGGACCCTCTTCGCCGAGACTGGAGTGCAACAGAGCCAGCTACGAGATCGTTCATGTGGAGCGTGCTGACCGTGGTGTTTGTCACCTCAAAGGTACATCGTTTTTCTGCTAGCTCCGTAAGCCCTTTCAGTCATGGTGCGTACAAATGTACATGCCAACTCCCATGGTACATCATGCACTGCGTGTTTCATCAAATCGCTTGAGACTTAGTGTGCACATTCATGCAGGCCTCCTGAGTGGACAACTGGTGATCATTTAACTTAATTATGCTGCGTACTACTGCAGAGGATCACTTGGCTGATTACACTACACCATGTCTGAAGATTGTTTAACGGGCCGCTTTCAAGGACCAACAAGCTTTCTTTTCTTGGCTCAAAGCAAACTGTTCATGCAATGCCGGCCTAATAGTGGATTCTTTTTATGCACCTACTAAAGCTGACTGGTGGCAGTAAATTAAATAGTTGGTTACACACTCACTAACTTTAATTACTAAAACTCACACAAAACAACACTTTCCTTCATTTTCTTACTTGGAATGTAATACTTAGTGCCTTAGAATTATGCCACGCTAATTTAACTAGTTTCTGACAGTATGTCATGATTCTGGACTGAAGGGGCTAAGCGTGTTAATTAGTATTCTTGAATCATTCATCTCTCAAGGCATCTGGTCTTGTAAAATGAGCACTGATGTTGTGTCAGGAGGCAGGATAAACAGCAGAGTGGCTGGAATGTGCCACCTGCTGCTTCACTATCAGATTACTACAGCTCGGTGTCTATAGTGAAAGTTAAAGATAGGCTAAATACAGAGCATTGAATAAAAGAAAAGAAGCGAGTACTATAAAGTAGAAAGGAACCCACATGATGCTGGTGTGGAAGCTTTCCAATACTTAAAACGCTATATGCTGTGTGAGCCTGTACCTTGTGAAACGTTGACTAGTCCATCGTTAAATGGGTTTTTATTTTGCTCTTCAAACCTTGTTTAATTAGTGTCGAATGTTTAAGAGCTGATAATTTCGTATCAGTTTTGGTTGCAAAGCTTCCGTTTTGTCAGAGCTAGATGTTAGGTTACAGTGTTGGAAAAGAATTTAAGGGCTCATTTTTTTTTTTTTTTTTGTTAGACACAATATTAGTGAGAACTGTCAGTCTCTTAGTTCTCATTAATATTGATTACCATGTAGATGGTTTTGGGACGTTAGACTCCAGATATTATTATTATTATATTACGATTACCATGATGAGGTAATGGCTAAAGCTGTTGTTTGAGTGGAAGGCTGTCAACCGCTCTAGTTGTCTATGCAGCATTGCAGAATTTGTCACCCTCTATAAAGTTACTTGCAGAAGTAATCTAACAGCACACAGCTTTATATCTATTAACTCATATCAATGCTTTTTACGCCTTGGACTAGTTTTATACAGCATTGCAGAATTGGTCACCCTCTATAAAGTTACCTGCAGAAGTAATCTAACAGCACACAGCTTTATATCTATGAAGTCATATCAATGCTTTTTACGCCTTGGACTAGTTTTGAAGGGTGGCCGCTATTACTGTGCTCAGCACTGGAGTGCTCTCTACAATTTACATTTCTACAGCTGCTGCTGAATTCGTCATAATTGAGAAAGTTGGCTGTAGCAAGCCGTAAGCCTCCATCCACTGTATCGTAAGAGTACTGTATTAATTGGTGGCATGTCTTAAAACAAGCACCCGTCATTATGCATGATGTCTTTTGGCTTCCTACTGCTAATGAGAGCTTTCTTCATTGCAGGTAACAATGGCAAGTACTGGGGCATCGCTGAGGATGGCTCCATTTCAGTAGATTCGGACGACACCTGCGGCTTCTACGTTGAGCTGCGCGAACCTTCACGCCTTTGCTTGAAGACTGCCGACGGTTCTTATCTCAATGCTGACAAGAACGGCGCTTTCAAGGCTGGCGCTGCCGACCCAAGCCAAGCAACACTTTGGGAGTACTGAGCTGCCTAGACCGTCTGGCTACGGAAATCAATCGGGCATGGCTCGACTCGGATCAACACAGCAGCATGTCTCGCTCCATAATTTGCTTTGATGTTCCTTAGGACGTTATTTCCTAGGCTGAAACCATCCCTTCAAATTTTTTCGTGCACCCGTTAGAGATAAGTTAATTTTTCACTGATGTGTAACTGAACTCGGACATTCCTTGCTTTATATAAGCTTTGATGGCATTAATAGCAAAAGATCTGTACGCTGATGATTCTCATCTGCTATTCCTGCAATGTTTAGTTATGGTCAGGGCTTCATTTTCTGTCACACTTGTGAACAACCTTTTGGAAGTTACACAAGGCATAAATGTTTCCCAGGACGCAGCCGATGCTGGGATTCCAGTGATGCACTCACTGTGCCAGCGAACTCTTGTGGCTTGTTTAACACGGTTCTCCGGAAATTGTAGTGTTGGCAATCATACTTGGCTTTGCTATGTTAGATCTGTGTGTGCATGTATCCGTCGTGTGCAAGTACTTTGGTCCTGTGTACACCCGTCGTAATACAAGTTGCGTCACTCGGAGTAGCCTAAATATTAAAATGCTCAAGGAAGGCAAGCATGCGACAGGTAGAGTCTGTCATTGATCATTACGCACAATGGACCCTCATCCCTCACTCTGGTGGTTTGTGGCACACCAGGGTTTGTATAACCCACACACTTATCTCCTTGTTTGTGGATGTGGTTCTTCACTATTTGATACTGATAAGCCAAACTGACATTCCTTCCATAACTGTGTAAAACCGCAATGTAGCTGGTTACACCTCTCGATGCCTTCCATTGTCGAAGGTGCATCACTATTTTACTGCCTATTGAATAGGAAAGTCTTGACAGGTGCAGTGTTTTTTATTTAGTCATTGACATATTTTGAAACGAGATATTCGAAAGTATTACCAACGCAGATGGCTCTTTTTGCCGGCAGTGCAGGATGTACACTTTCTTTTTTCCATTCTGAGTGTGTGACCAATTTTTGTATGTTTATACACCAACTTTATTAAAAACAGTTTTTGAGTCAACAGCCTGCGGCAGCTTTCCTTGCGTGTCATGTCTGATATCTAATGCCAATGACAGTGTCACTTGCCCTGTACAGGTTACAGGAGACTCAAAGGGACTGTCTATCGCTCGGAAAAATTTTTCTGATTGTGGCGCCAATAAAAAGATTGTTCATCACATTGGTGGCAACAAGCATGCTTTCGTGCCAGAGAAAAGGAATCATGATTTTAAATTGATGTTCAAAGTCTATAAAATGTGACCACTAGTGTCACCCAACGGCCAATGTGGTCAATCTTGACAATCAATCGGTAGGACGAGAAATCGTCGCAGGTAGAATTATTTCGCTTGTAAACAAACTTGTTCAACTTAAATTTGTATTTTATGCACTTGAAGCAGCTTTGTATTGCGCCAGAGACCAATTTTTTCTCAAGCATTCTCAATTTTTCTTAATTTCTCAATTTTTCTCAAGCGTTCAAATAGGCGCCCGGTGGCGCTGCGGGTGGTGTGTTCGCTTGCCTGGATGCCTGCCTGCAAACAGCGGAGAAACGCGACCGCGGCGTACGCCGCCGCTCATGAGAACAAAAAATTGTCTGCGTGCCTAAAATGGCCACTGAGGTAATTAGTTTATCGGTACCCAAACTTGATTAAGCCTGCGAAAACCGCACATGGTTTCAGTTTTCGATTTTCACCGTGCCCACCAGTGTTCCCGGCATTCATCCCACCGATGGAAGGAGACATAACGTGGACAGAAAAATTCTGTTTTAAAACATTCTACACACTTTCCAGAGAAACCGCTGCAAAGTTAGACACTTCATGTGGTACGCTTTTTATTGCAACACAAAACAGGAGAGCAATGAAGGACTGTAGACAATCCCTTTAAAGGATAATCCCAAATGGTTTTGTACGCTTTGAAAGAGCCACATAGTTCATGAAGTTGTGCACTAATGTGTTATCAGCTTCCACACAAATAACTTCACCAGGATAGAAATGCACTCAAACCTCAATATAACAAACACAAACATAAAGAAATATCGGTTATAATGGCATATATGAAGAAGCTTGCAATATAGTGTTAAGAATAACCTTTACAACAATGTTTCAGATATAACGAACTTATTTTCTTGCAAGATTCAACTTTGTTATAATTACGTTTCAGTAGTGTTGAGATTAAGTGGAGTGCTCTTACTTGCCTAAAGGCTCAATGTGAATTGAGATTATAGCTGTGTGCATGCACCTTCTGGCAGCAAAGCTTTGCCACATTGGTAAGGTAAAAACTTAATATATATTAAGTTCAAGTAATAAATTAGTCTCCAGATGGAGCTTATGACTCAGTCTTGTGGAAATGAATTTTTTAAACTATGAATCTGCTGTGTAGTGAAGACAACCAATAATCGTGCCAAAACATGTCAAGACGTTACTGGGAAGAATGTGTCACAAAATTTAATAAAATTTGCAACTTTCTAGCAATTCTGCTACACTGCCAGAATGCGACTTGTCAAGAGCTTGGTCTTTCCAAGAATGCCGGCAGTTAGCAAATAGACTGCAAACGGGCATTAACTGAACTTTTGTCAGCAGTCTGTGCTTCCAGCTGTGCCCCGTACAACTGCTTCTCCGGACTTCATCATCATCATCAGGCTGACTACGTCCACTGCAGGACAAAGGACTCTCCCATGTTCCACCAGTCAACTCGGTCCTGTGCTTGCTGCTGCCAATTTATACCGGCAAACTTCGTAATCTCATCTGCCCACCTAACCCTCTGTCTCCCCCTAACCCGCTTGCCTTCTTTAGGAATCCAGTTAGTTACCCTTAATGACCAGCGGTTATCCTGTCTACGCGCTACATGCCCGGCCCATGTCCATTTCCTCTTCTTTATTTCAACTATGATATCCTTAACCCCGGTTTGTTCCCTAATCCACTCTGCTCCCTTCTTGTCTATTAAGGTTACACCTACCATTTTCCTTTCCATCGCTCGCTGCGTCGTCCTCAATTTAAGCTGAACCCTCTTTGTAAGTGTCCAGGTTTCTGCTCCGTAGCTAAGTACCGGCAAGATGCAGCTGTTATATACCTTCCTCTTGAGAAATAGTGACAATCTACCTGTCATGATTTGAGAGTGCTTGTCAAATGTGCTCCTCCCCATTCTAATTATTCTTGTTACTTCAGTCTTGTGGTTCGGCTCCGCGGTTATTACCTGTCCTAAGTAGACATAGTCTTCTACAACTTCAAGTGCACTATTACCTATCTCGAAGCGATGCCCCGCCGCGGTGGTCTAGTGACTAAGGTACTCGGCTGCTGACCCGCAGGTCGCGGGTTCAAATCCCGGCTGCGGCGGCTGCATTTCCGATGGAGGCGGAAATGTTGTAGGCCCGTGTGCTCAGATTTGGGTGCACGTTAAAGAACCCCAGGTGGTCGAAATTTCCGGAGCCCTCCACTACGGCGTCTCTCATAATCATATGGTGGTTTTGGGACGTTAAAGCCCCACATATCAATCAAATTATCTCGAAGCGATGTTCTCTTCCGAGGTTGTTGTACATTACTTTCGTTTTCTGCAGATTAATTTTAAGACATATATTTCTACTCTCCTTGTCTAACTCCGTAATCATGAGTTGCAATTCGTCCCCCGAGTTATTTAGAAATGCAATGTCATCGGCGAAGCGCAGGTTACTAAGGCACTCTCCATTATTTCTTATGCCGAACTGTTCCCATTCTAGGCCCCTAAAAATCTCCTGTAAGCACGCGGGAGGTTTTCAGAGGCCTAGAATGGGACTTACTGTCCAACAAGTCTGCAAGTGAGCTTATCATACTGATTTTGTAGAGATTAAATAAAGTCGAAAAAGGTTTTGTAATCTACCAGTGAGAAGGCATGAAATTAAAGAAAAAAAAATCGAAATCTGTGCAGAAATCGCAAGGACACTCAACAATCCTTCCAGTGTTTGGAGCTAGGCGTAAGGCATGCTTTCTGAAACTGTAATGAGTACTACTGCTGGAGGCTATTTATTGAAAGATATGGGCATCTTACTTTATATAAAACTGAATCTGGGCACCGGTGAAGATCTTGCTGTGAGAATAGATCAATTCAGCAAAGGTATGTATGCATGGTTCGAATCAACTTTGTGGTATCAATTATATGCAGTACACAGAAAAATCTGTAAACAGAGGTTGTGTCGAGCCGAAGTTTCGACAAACGGACTTGTCTTCTTTAGCGCTAGCATGTCTACACTTCGTACCCTCTCTTCCAGCCTAAAAAAGGAGGGGAAGAGGCATTGATCATTTCTTTTTAGGGTTGAGACTTGTAATTTAAATAGTGTTCAACACCTATAGCAGGAAGTAACTTATTGAGCTCACAAAATACATAGTTCATACCAATGTAACTCATTCCAACATTTCACCTGATAGCGTGTTGGTTGCCGAGCATCGTAATACAGAGTTGTGTGTACAACAATGTGCCAAGCTGTGTGCTCGATAAACTACTACCGAAGCTTCAGAACATCAGAGAAGTCTTCGTCACCCAGCTGGGCATTGAAGACCTATAGATCTTGCACTAAATGCTGAATTACTACTTAAGAAGATTGACCAGGATTGGCTTGAAACCTTTGCTAAACACAGAGTCGGAGCTAAATGTTAATCTCTACAAACAGCACAATAAAGATGGCAGCACATATTGGAGAAGGACACAAAAAGCAAGGCGATGGGGTGAGCCCTTGTTTGCTGTGTCGTCCTTTTCTATGGATCCTATTTTTGCAATGAATATTTAACTAAGGCGTCAACTATTCCCACATGCACAGGTAAAAATTGGAAGCAGCAGCTTGTATGAAGATCCAGTATGAGTTCAAATTATTGGTAAGCAAATATAGTCCTAGTATAATAGCTGGGTGGCAATAATTTACAAGAGCTGTGGTCATAAAGTAAGGAAGGGATATGTGCAACCAAAGCCTAGTCACATTCTGGCAGTTTTTGATCAGTGGCATTATTTACGTGTCACCCATTTCTACTATTAGTCCCATCATAAATGTCAGCAGCCTGTAGAAAAATGTGTGCCAAGTAAATGTGAGGGAATATTGCTGTATTTCATTCCGTACACTAATCGAACTGTAAATATTAAAAAGCGTTAAAAAATACCGAACATTTTCCCAATAATTTTCAAATAATCAGTACTAATGGGGAATCCCAAAGCAAACAAACACTTGGAACAGCTAGAAGTCATTTTCTCTTTGAATCGCTAAAGTGGTCTGCCCACAGGCCGCCAAGCTTTTAAGAGACTACTGGCACTATATGTATTGCTTCGTGCACTTTTTTTTTTTTTGAGAACTCCACTTTCCCTCACTTTTTACTATGCTGAAGCTGTAACTTAGAAGCCTGGCAGTTTTGGCTAGTTCGCATGACATGACGATTGTTGTAGCACGAGAACAGAACGACAGCTTCTTTTTGTTCCTTTGTTGTCGTTTTGTTCCCGCGCTATAACAATTGTCGGCTAAAGTTGTATCGCATTAAAAAGCTCCTGTCGCCATCTTGTAATAATTGAAGGCAGGTCTACGACTGCATGCAGTTGCATGACTAACAACAGATGCAAATGTGGTGTTTGGATAAATTGTTCTTGCATATGTAGATTTCAACATCAATTATTACATGCTTCCAATGTGCAGGCCTTGTCACAGTGACGGGCTGATCTGCTTTATTACATCTTTAGCTGTATCAGTGGTGTTTGGTTCAAAATTTAGTTTACGTGTTCCAATTTTATTTAAAGTCACCTGAAAAAGTATCGCATTGATAATGTTAGTGTATGCTGTATTTGAACCGACTGTTATGAAATATTACGAAGGATCTAACTCCTGCTGTATAACAAGCTTACCTTAATTTTTGTAGTTGTAGTATTTCCAGTCAATAAAAACTAACTGTAATGTTCTTTGGTGAAATTTAGTGAATATTTTTTCCATTTTAAATGTAGGTTTCCTAGAACTGTTTTAACAATGGTCCACAGACTATTCAAAACCATTCCAACAGAATCAGCTTAATATTCGTATTTGGTTTGATGCCATCACTATTCAACTCGGTAACGAAATTCACTATCTGCACACCCCTGTGCCAAGTGCTACGACGAGGATCTCCAAGGATGGCACAAACTATATATGGTAGAGCATTAGTTCAACTGCAATTATATAATTTGTGGTACTTGAGGATGTTTACAAATGTTTCGTAGTATCCTTAGAGGTATGCACAGTTTGTTTCGTACTGACGGTGCACTTTATGTGGTGTAGAGCATGCTTGGTTTCGAAGAGGAGGACAAAGCAATCATTTATGCAAAGCTCAAAGGCGTAAAGCTCCCATTCGCTTTAAAGAGTGAGTGAGGATGGGCAGGGGCGTTGCCAAATTTTGGGGGGACACCTTTTTGAAATAGTCATTTTTCGCTCTGCATGCCATGGCGAAAAAATTTTCGGGGGATGAACCACTTGCCCGGTGTGCCACTTCCTGGTTACGACACTGAGAAGTGTTAGTCTAGCAGTTAATTAATATTGCAACACACGCAACACAAATATGCCGCTTTAGTGATCGACATTCGGAAGTTTGATTGTGCAAGGTCCGTGTCGGAATAAAATAGAGCCCCAAGTTTCGGCAGCCAAGTCAAGCCTAAGCTAAAGCCCCTAGATGTTGGCTAAGCAGGAAAGGGGCGACCTCTCTCCCTTTCTCAACACACTGGTCGAGCCCGAAAGGAAACACAGGTGCCCCTGTAGGAGCGAAAATGAAAAAAAAAAAAAAAATTAAAGCAATGGCGGGCTTCGGCCTACTTTAGGTTCCCGGCTTTCATGTGGTAAATGTGAGAGGTAAAGCATTATCAAATCCCATATGACCTTCGGATGCCTTAATTATGTAACACCAGCATGACCACAATAATCCGCTCAAGGCAATGACCATAGCCTGGCGCACGTGGGAGGGGGGGGGGGACAGAGAGGCAAACCATACCCATGTATTGACATTACAGGGATGGGGGCGAGAGAGGAGCGCTATGTCAGCCCACCTTCCTGTAATGACAGTAGAGAAAGGGACGCTGCGCCAAACCTCCCCCCCCCCCCCCCCCCCCAGCCCCTTGAAGAAGGATCCAGCGGACGCTTATGACAACTACGGCACAGGTCCGCCTGAGAAAGGTACGAGGCAGGCTTGGCGTTCAAAACGACGATATTTACCGGTACGTGTGTGACGTTGCCTACATGCGCTGGGGAGTGCACAGCATTGAGTGCCGTGCAGTATGACTGGTGCCTCGATGCAAGCCAAAGGAGGCGTTGTGCAGGCAGAGTTTAAAATGCCAAAGCCTATGACAATCTCGGGCTGCGCAAGCGGCAGACGACGTCCGCCGTAATTCACAGTCAGCTTCGGACAAGCACGATTAATTACCAACCGTCGACTAGTAAGTTTTATGGTACCACCAGAGAATGCTTACATCCATCTGACATAACACTGTACACGCATAAATTAATGCTTCAAAGGGTATCGAAAAACGAAACAGGAGCCGACCTAGTGTGGCTTCCAAGACTAAAGTTGCGCGCAGTTGGTACGCATCTCGAAGGCCAGGACATCGCAGTATGAGAACGATGTTGCTTCTATTCTCCGTCAGCTGCCGCCACCAACGCAATTTTGTTGTTTGCTTTTTGTATTTTTTGTTTCACAACGACGCTAAGATTGGTTGTGCGCCGCATCCGCCACACCTCCACGACCAATGAGAGAGCAGCCTGTGCGATCCGACCGCTGACGTCAGTTACTACGCCGTCGTCTCGCTGCCTGCAATGCGCGAGTCCATCCATTTTTGCCGCTGAAAAAAAGTGGCTCTAATATTTATGTTGTGGTTCTCGGCGTATGTGTTGTGCTGTTCGCGTTTACGTGGGTGTTGCGGATACGTTACGGATACTCGTGCATCGGATACACGCATCGTCAGCCCGTAGACTCGCCGACGCTGGTCCAAGGTGCAGTTTGGAGGTGAGTGGTGGTCTGATTGCGAACTGTCTCCGCCCCGGCACCTACCTCGCCCGCCCGCCCGCCTGCTTCACGCAGGTCTCGCCGTTCGAGCGGGCGGGCATCTGTTTGGCGCCGAACTCGTCGAGTGACAATATGTCGCGACACTGCGATTCGAGCGGGCTACTTCTCACGACACTGGGTGTTGTCACGCGTTGTTACAGCGTCCACGCGACCGACACGGTTAACTTTCGGCGTCGTCAAGTGCGCCCGACGCGGTTGCGATTGCAGATTCGTCGATGATCGCCCGCTCTGGCCTCCACGATCCGTACGAGAACGCAGTGACAGCGCAAATATGCGTCGACGGCCTGCCTTTCCACGGCAGCGAGCGCCAACCCAGAGCTGTACTGCGTAACCGCGTGTATACCTTCTTTTAAATGTCCTCTTACTGCATGCGGCTCGTATCTCTCGACGGTTTCCGCTGCGCTCCCCCCCTTCGAATTTATTTCAACTTTCGAACGCGCCTAGTGTATGTCGTTTCACAGCCAAAGATTGCTTGAGGTCGCAGATTTCCCTGCGTGTATTTTTTTTTTATCTCTCTTTTTGCCCAAGTCCTTCCGTCCTCTCCCGTCGTCGCCGTCTGGCGTTGTCCGTGGCTAGCGTCGCAGTCAGGTTCCCTCGCACCGACCGGCCTTTGCATTGGGCGAACCGTGGCATAACCAGTTTCTGCGCCGCCAACTTCGGCCCGGCAGACTCGTTCTATCGCTCTCGGCAGCGTTCCTGCGGGTGCCTTTTTTTTGTGTTCTTGCGTGTGTGTGTGTCTGTCGTCGTTACGTATGTGTTCTTTGCCTCTCGATTGAACGGCGGCGGTGCTTTTGACTTTCTTGCATTCACCAAAGATGCGGTCGGCGACTGAGCCCGCGTCATGCATCATCCTCCAGAGAAGAAGCCCTCAATTGGACACTCGTCAGTTGCCCGTTTTGGCGCCGCAGACGCCGTATCTCTTGCTCTTTTCTTTCGGGCTCTGGTGCTGTCGTAATAATGTCTGGTAGGAGCAGCAGAGAGGGAGGCAGCCGTTGTTGCCTGTCCCTGCGACCTCTTGCCGAGAAGAGTTTTTGAAGTAACACTCAAGCCAAAAAAAGACCCCGAGGCCCCTGTCGTGGGGTGCTTGCTTGTGCGTCTGCCCTTTTCGTGCGGGAACAAGCGCCGTACTTTTTGCTCTGCCTCGTGCTTTCTTCAGCCGCCTACAACTTTGAACTGAACACGTGATCTCCCGTTGGAACTTTGAAGCGTGTTGTGTTGCCGGTACTAGCAAACGCGAGCGGCGGTCCTCGTGAGGGGTGGATTTGTGACTGTGTAACAGCGTGTTGTGTATGCACAGTCCCCCTATGTGAAAAAGTCACAATGTCAGAACCACGGCCTCTTAAAGCGCTAGAGCACCCGAAACTCTTAATCACTGCCGTACTTATTATGGAAAGGCCGCAGTTTCAGAACCGTGGCCCCTCGGAATGCTAGAGAGCGCCCAAAAACCCTAATCACTGCCGTACTTATCGCGTTTAACCGCAGATGGAAAACGTTTGTACTGATTCGACAAATACAGGAATACTTTTGAACGGAGAAGAGGTATAGCTCAAAGCAGAACTTAGGGCAAGTGTCTAATAGACCCAGCCGTATGGAGCACCGCCTATAGTCCACCCAGCAACACTTCGAATTCTTGGAAGTGTTGCTCAAGTATTGAGCAAGTATTCAACACCAAATAGTCCGAAGCCTCTTTTACGGAATGCGCCACTTCTCACTGGCGCATGACGTACTCAGATAAACTGAGTAGCGGAGCGCACAATAGAACTTATTCCCGCGTTTTTGAACCGCTTTTTTTTTTGTATCTCGTGTTTCCCCCATCTCGCGGAGTTGTTGAAGACGCAATCATACGTGCCGTCTCAAGTTTATACGTTAATGATGCCTCGTGCAAACAGTTGTGCCCATCCTTGAAGTGATGTGCGTCCGTCATCTGTAAATAGACGTCAGACGAGTCGGTCCTTGCGGAACGCTCCCGAATGACGTTCAAGGAATAACAACGAGTTCTACTTCTCCCTCCGAAAGCGGCGCAGATGAGTCCCGAGACCTTTTCGCGGGTGTGTACCAGCCACGACTAGTCATTATCGCCGTAAGAAAACGAGGTGCGATAAATAGTGACCGCAAATAAGGACACGTGCATTGTCAATTAACGAACGAACTAATTTACAGATGAAAGTATTCCGCCTTCCGTCGTTCTCGCACGGGGCGCTTTTTTCTTCATGGCGGCGATCGTGTGAACCTCTACACGCAACTGAAGCGTCTTAGAGAACTTATCACAATTCAAATAGTTTAGGCGGACTTGACTCAAGAATTGTTAACTAAGGGATATAAACATTTCGTCACCCATGCAAGTGAAATCATCCACTGGCAGCTATATATATATATAGGGAGTGGAGTTCGACCATGTCCCGAGTAAACTTTTGCACAAAAACCACGAATTCTCCCTAACGTCTCTGCATTCAACTCATCGTGTCAACCAACCCTTAAGGTATTAATCCACTGCAGGTATAGATGGCGAAATTCCGCCCAACTGAACTAAAGTGCGGTTTGTTCAAAAGCACCGGCTTATCATGAGGAGGAGACGCGTTCGCAGGACGGCGCATTGACAAATCTCGGGAGAAAAGAAAAAAAAAAACGGCAGATCCCACGTACCTGGGATTCGACGTTATGCGAAGCATGCAGATGGAAGGTGACCGTGTTGCAAGTTTTTATTGAGCGACAAATACATGTACAAATATCGCACGCATAGACATATGTTGAAGAGTTGCAGATGTTTGTATAATCAGTTGTTTGCACTTCCACAACGATGCCAACTGGAAGATGCGTTTTAGCAACACCAGAAGCTGATATGAAGCGCTGGTGCTCGCGAGGATGCTGGCCTTGGACACTGCTACATAAATCAGCTTCAGCGCATGGCAACTAAGCGCAATTGGCGTTAACCTGTCGTGACAGCTGTATCAAAGGAGTATACATATGAAATGGTTATAAAATTGGGTAGGCAGCAGCACTGCACCCACTATTGACGTCTCACGAAGATTAGCGCCTGTTTGAAAAGTAGTTTCCGAGGCCTGCAGCTTAGCTCTGTGGTAAAATACTTGATTGCCATGTAGAATACTTGGGTTCGACTCCAGCTGGAACCCTGAAATTTTATTCTTTGCGTTCGTTGCATGGGTTGACGTTACCGATGTCGCGTATATCTTATATAACGCTCGCGCGTTAATATTGCCCATGTGTGTTCTCGTCGTTCCTATATGTATACATGCTAAGTGTCGATTACCCGTTGCACATACCCGCATACCAGCGGCACATACCCGCCCATGGGTATGTGCCACTGTCCAGCGCGAAGTGTTTGACGACGCACGTGACGGGATTGTGACATTATTCATGTCATGACCATGTGCGTGGTATTCGTCAAACCATCTTACTTACCCATGCTAATTTTGGTTCACGCCAAGTTAAGCGGGTAAGCGAGAGAGCACGTAAACGTAAGCGGCTATGTAGATAGATAGATAGATAGATAGATAGATAGATAGATAGATAGATACGCTCAAAGCCGCTAAGAAATGCTTTTAAAAAACCTGGCCTGCGCAGCATTTTCGCATTTAAAAAAGCCTGCAGGGCCTGCGCTGAAAGCGCAGCACTGTCACAGCGAAAGCTATATAGAAGAGCGGCCTTTAAGAGCCTCGTCCGTGCCCGGGTATCGAACCCGGGACCAACGCCTTTCCAGAGCACGCGGGCACGCTTCGAATTGAGCTATAGCCAGGAAGCTGGCAATTGGCAGTGCGCGGGGGCGAATTAACGGCTGCGCGCTACGACACCGGTGGTTGTCAATCTCCCTTAAATCTTGCGGGAATATATTTCATTGTGGTTATATGACATCCGATTGGCGGTTTTTCGTATGTACCGCTACTTTTTGAGTACCATAGAAGTCCGTCTCACCGGGGGAACCCAAAAACCTGCGCCGTGCCTTTTCGCGGTTCTGTAATTTGCCAGCGTCACAACTCCCCATCGTCGACGTCGATGTATACGAATGGTGTTTTGCCTGATCTTTCTGTTTAGCTCACATAACCACCGAGTTGTTGAGGCGCTCCGATAGTATAGTGATGCTGGAAATGTGTAGCGAGAATTACGTATAGTGGCACTGCGGAGGTTAATCTCCACTCCCCCCCCCCCCCGCACTCGTGTCTTCCCTTCCAATGACAATTAAGGGCCCACCACTGGCAGCGGCTAATTAACAATACTTGTGCCACTTCGCCAAAATGTTATGCACTTTCAGAGACTGCGCACTCTATCGTGTATAGAACGTTAAAGAATGAAAGAACATCCTGTTAGATGTAGACAGAACGTGCCTTCGAAGCTTCGCAAATTGCTGTGGTTTAGGCGAATGGCCGTGGTTTCGTTTTTCACCTGTGGTGCAGACAGAAATTTGTTTCCCGGGGTGCATGGTGGTGGGTTGTGCATGTGCTTGACTTTAACTGGTGGCCGAGCAGACAAGTGCGGTATAGGGCAATTTCGCGCTTCGTGGAAGAAATTTGAAAGAAATTTGTGTAGCGCGATGCGAAAAAACGAACACAGGAAAGAATAGACTGAGAAGACAATTGGCCCCGTCGTGGCCCCGTCGAGCAAGAAACTTCAAGAGGGGTATATGGTGATTGGGTGCGTTCGCAGTTCGCCTGCAGGGCTGCGCTGATAGTATGCATAGCCATATGAACGAAAGGGCAAGTAGAGTATGTAAAATTAGGAGTAATTAAAAATGACGAGTCACTTTAATCACTGACGCATATATGCAAAGACATTTTTTTAATGAATACTGGAATTTGAAGCCACGAGTGCAGATTTGTGTGCTCCTCTGGTTAAGATCGCAGTGCAGGTTCATGGAAGGGGGTGGCGGCAACGTGTTTTCGCCCGGAATCTCCATCCCCTCGACAGCCGCATACGCGGTTCTCCTT